CCCCAAAACCCCAAAACCCCAAAACCCCAAAACCCCTCTTCCTTGAGGAATATTCTAAATATTCGCAACTGATATTACAGTTCAATTTTGAGTAAGCCAACATTTGGGTTACCACCCAATAAACCCTTTCTCTATTAGGAACCATTTGTGGGCTGTACTTCTAGGGCAGAGAGTCTCCCCTCCCTTAGAGGCAAAGACATGAATGTCCTTGTCTCAACCACCTACTATGTAGACTTTGGTGTTGAACTCGACTGGATGGGTGTTAAAGAATTCCTCTGATTTCTTTAGGTACTGTTCATGCCTCCTAATCTCTTGTTTGCTGATATCGAGACTGAAGCATTCAGATTGCCAACCTTGCTGGCCTCCGAATATGATGATTTCTTTGTCATCAATAGCGAAGGATCCTAGGGTATCCCTAGGAGTCCATAGCTCATCTGGAGAAGAAAGCTTTAATTCTTCCCATTCAGGATCTGGGAAAGTAAAGTCTAGTCTTTCTATAGAACTCAAGCTATTTATTTGTCATTAAATGAATCTCTGCCGCCAATTACGTAGAGAATAGTGTCAGAAACAGTCACGCTAGTATGATCAAACCTAGGAGTGATCATGGAAGGACCGACACTCCATTTGTTATCAAGAGGTTTGTAAATCTCTGTACTTTTGAAATTTTCTTCAGGGAATTTTGAACCAGTGGCGATTATCATTACTTCTTTGTAACTAGTCCCTTCCAACTCAAGGGAAACAAGGTTCAAGCGATGTCCTCATCTTCCGTTGTTCATGGGGGTTAGCTCTCGATGTCCATTTTCTGTCAGTGAGAATGCATGCTTGGAGTATCAGAGGTAACCTTCAGAGCTAGACCTTATCTCTCCTCCAGTGATGAAGATTTTTCCATTGATGTCAATGAATGAGAATTGAGAGATATCAACTTCAGTTTTTGGAAACTCTATAGTATCTACTTTTTGAGTTTTCAAGTTATAAATATCAAATTCAAGGGTGTTCTTATTAAAATAGACCAATCTTGGAGGAGCCCTCTCAGTAAACTTTAATGGATCAGAGTTCTTTGATTGGATAATCTCTAATCCCTTCCTCTTTAGAGTAATAGATTCATAGAAAGCCTCCCTGATAGGAGTTATATCAAATGTGATTTTTAGCGAACTAGCTGCATCTTTAAGGGACATTCCCTTAGCACTTTTGTGTTTCGAGTCTAAATCTAACGGTTGTGAAGGAAAGTACCTGAAGGAAGAGTATTTTGTGCGACTTCTTCAATTACTTCTTTATTTCAACAGCTGCATTTCTTCTTCTATCTTACTGAAAATATTTTGAATTTGGTCAGTCATGCCGGAATCTATGGTTACTGTGCGTAGCCTTACCTTCAGAGTATTCCATTTGGTCATTTGCGCTTTTATCGATGATATTATCCATACTGTAATCTATAAAATATTTTAAATTTCCTGGGGTTTTGGGGTTTTGGGGTTTTGGGGTTTTGGGGTTTTGGGGTTTTGGGG